TTCCTAACAAAGGGCTGTCCATCTACATCCCATCTTGCATCATTTAACGCATTAGTCTGGGAGCCGACCTTGTCCGTGAATACAGAGGCAAAGAAAGCATTGAGCACTTCAGCTTTCCCCACATCATCTGTCACTAGGCTATCTCCTTCTTCCAGTAAGGGCCCCACCCTCTCAGATCACCCCCTTATTGCTTTTGCTCTTTGGATAGTCGACTAGTCGCTTACATCCCTACCCGTCACCCCGCACTGCTGCCTCTCTATCAGGATGGCAGGGGCTCCTTGCACTGGCCCCCGGGACTACGGAATAGTCGTGTAACCGATAGGAATTCACGTGGTTCCATGACTGTTTAGTTACCTAATGGCTGATATCCCTAACTACCTTACCTGACAGACTCAGCGCTCACTCTGCTTAGCTAACAAATTGAAGGTTAAGGGGTGACTTGCTCAGTGCCGAGGTCCCCGCAAGGGGGACACATCTCTGCCAACAGCCTGTTTAGTCGAGCAGAAAGGCCCGGCACGACCTCGTGGCTGGCAGCTGAAGTAAGGAGGAAGGCCAGCGAGGGGGTTTGCCACAGGAACAAGGGTGGTAGTGGGTGCTTCATCACTGGCAATTTCTGGATCAGGACGGGCCATTTGTCTAACGGCTCAGCTCTAGGAAATATTGGGGGCAGGTCTCCGGCCTGCGCTATACAGGCCACCGGGAGATGATCATAATGGTTTCTTCTGGCCCTGCAATTCACTGGCGTGCTCTGTTCAGAGAGGGATGGGCTCAGCCAGCCTACCCCCTTCCGCCCCCGTGTTCTAATCCCCTTCCTGCTCCAGCCAGTTGGGGCAGCAGAGCAGCTACCAGAGTGGAGGCTCTGCTGCAGGGGGGCCGGGGTCTGGTCGGATCCTTCAGCACTTATACCAAGAAGCTATCCTCAACATTCTCCAAAAAATTTCTGGATTGCCTGTGTACTGCCATATTGGTTTCCCAACAGATGTCAGAGTGATTAAAGTCCCCCACGAGAACCAGTGCCTGCAATCGGGAAGCTTCTCTCAGTTGTCCAAAGAAAGCCTCCTCCACCTGATTCGGTGGCCTATAGTAGACACCAACATCATTGCTGTTGTTTGCACCTCTAAATTTAACCCATAGACTCTCAACAGGTTTTTCTCCCTCTATATATTGGAGTTCAGAGCAATCATAGTGCTCTATTACGTATAGTTCAACTCCTCCTCCTTTTCTCCCCTGCCTGTTCTTCCTGAACAGTCTATACACTTCCATGACAGCACTCCAGTCATGCGAGTCATCACACCAAGTCTCTGTTATCCCAATTACATCATATTTCTTGGACTGGGCCAGGGCCTCCAGTTCTCCCTGTTTGTTGCCCCGGGTTCTTGCATTAGTGTTCAAACATCTCAGATAACTAGCTGATCGTCCTATCTTCTTCATTCGGATCAGGGGTCCTCCTTTCTTGCTCGTTCCTCTTTGCATTTCTTTCTGGCATTCAGCTTTCCCACTCCCTTCAGGGTTTTGGTCACCATCCCCCAACAAACCTAGTTTAAAGCCCTCCTCACTAGGTTTGCAAGCCTGCCCGCGAAGATGCTCCTTCCTCTCTTGGTTAGGTGGATCCCATCTCTTTCTAACAATTCTTGTGCCTGGAACAGAGTCCCATGGTCAAAGAAATTGAAGCCCTCTCTGCGAGACCACCTGCGCAACCACGCATTTACTTCCTCAATTCGATGATCCCTGCCCAGTCCTTTCCCTTCAACAGGGAGGATGGATGAGAACACCACTTGCACGCTGAATTCTTCGATCCTTCTTCCCAGATCTACATAATCCACAGTAACCTGCTCAAGGTCATTCTTGGCCATATTGTTAGTTCCCACATGGAGAAGCAGAAAAGGGTAGCAATCCGAAGGTTTGATCAGTTTGGTAAGCCTCTCAGCCACATCCTAAATTTGAGCTCCCAGTAAGCAGCACACCTCTCAAGATTCCAGGTCCGGACAGCAGATGGATGGCTCAGTCCCTCTTAGGAGGGAGTCTCCGACCACCACCACCCATCATCTTCTTTTGGGGGTGGTGGTCATGAAACTCTCATCCCTAGGACTATACATCCCATGCCTTCCAGTAGATGGTGTTTCTTCCTTGCAGTTTCTTCCTTGTTAGGTCTCTTCCAAATCATTCACCACTGCAGAGCCTGTGGAGAGAGCTTGAAAGTGATTACTTACCTCTATAGCATTGGGGGATTCCTGTGCTGGCTTTTTTCCCCTTCTAGAAGTTACATGTTGCCAGTTCTCTTCCTGGTCCCGTACTGCCCTCTCTGGCTCTTTAGTCTTCCGTGTTTGCAGGATAACACTGCCTTCTATCGAGGAAGTCTTCATCCTCTCTGATCGAGCGTAGGGTCGACACTTGGGCCTCCAGTTCTCTAATTTTTTCTTCCAAAATGGCGACCAGCTTGCACTTAGTGCAGATGAAATCCCTTCTTTCTTCTTGGAGGAAGACAAACATGGCACACGCTGAGCAGGTAACAACAGCAGACCTATCACCATCTGTCACTGCTGTCCTGGAGAAAGGTTTTAAAAAGAAAGGCAAGAGAACCTCGCGCCCTTCGCTATCCCCTTCCAAACTCCCTCTCTAAACTCCCTGTTAGCACTCACCTGTTCGCAAGCTCTTTGGTCACTTTCTCACTGCTTTATAAAGCCCTGGACTGCCTGAAAGTCCCTCCCCCTACCAAGGCTCAGCCAATAAACAGAGGTTTCTAGAATTCAAACTTTAATTAGAAGCCAACAGTTTCCACCTGCCAGTCACAGCACACACTCCATGAAGGAGAGAGGGAGGGGAAAGGGGAAGTGAAAAAAAGCCTCATTCACAAACACAGGGGAAAAAACAAATAACAACAAAAATACACACCAACCCTCACTCACAAACACAAGCTCTGCATACAGCAAGAAAGCCCCAAACACAACACACACTTCCCTCAAGAGTCCTGTATCTGCTTCTCCTCTACCTGGAGAACTCCCTCTCTAAAGCCTCACTCACAAACACAGAGGCAAAAAACACCATCACACACCAACCATAACTCACAAACACAAGCTCAGCCCACAGTAAGAAAGCTCACTGCTCACCAATGATGGGATGTGGAACAATATGGCTGGGAATTGGTAGAGAAGGGTGGGCTGGGGCCAGGTTGCTATGTTTCCTGTCACCACCACTTGTGAGTGCAAGAGCAGGTGCTATGGTCTATGCAACCCAGGAGAGGTTTCATTGCCTAGCCTACAATCCTGCTTGGAATGGGCTGGAAACACTTGCCTATGTCAAATCATTAGTAGTCAAGTGTGGGAAAAGATGCTTGAGCAAGGAATTGTGTTTAACTGTCAGCTCCATTTAGGAGCAATTTGAAAATTACTTTCAGAATTACATTTTCTATAATGGTCCGAGAAGATAATGAAATGCACCTAGCTGAGGGGGCGTGCCCTCAGTGGTTCTTGAGTAGCTATAGTAGTGAAGCTTCAGCGAGGAATGAAATTCAGGCTGGAGTATTTTCCCCAAGTATTTCTGAGGCAGAGAGATGTGCAGAGGAGTGAAGGGAGGAAAGTTACTCTACTATCCATGCATCAAGTCCTTCAGGGAGCCAGTTCCTTGCCTCTTTCAGCCCCCATTGTGTAATAACACCCAGCTCGTACATAGCACTTGACAGCAGTAGCTCTCAAATGATTTACATGGACGGCAGTGTCATTATCCCCATTTTACAGATGGGGATGCTAAGGCCCAGGGAGAGGCAGTGTCAAGTCCGGCATGTCACAGCAGATCAGTGGCAGAGCCAAAAATGACCCCAACTCTTCTGAGTCCCAGGCCAGTGCCATACCCGTACTGCCTCTCTCGCGTAGAGCTCTCAGCCTGGAGTCTCAGGCTGTACCAGCAGCGAGTTGTAGACATGTATTAATTCACACAGTGGGTAGCTTCCCACAGTCACTCACAAGCCATGCCAAGGATGCACTAATGTGAAATCAGGGTTGTGTGGGAAAGGGGACAAGCTCAGACTCAACTCTGCTTATGTGGAATATTTCCTTTGCGTTGGCTTTAAATCTGCTCAAGCTTATCGGGTAGTCGAGTTGACTACTCACATTCGCCCCCCCCCCCCCCCCCCACCCCCCCTGCCCCGGGAGCCAACTGGAAAGCCATTTTCCCCCAGCACTGTCTCAACTCCCCCTCCCCCCGGTACCTCTATCAGAGACATCAGGGGAAGCTGCTCTTGCAGCAGCCCCTGTCCATGGAGGTCCCAGCAGACACGTGGAACCCCCTTGCAGGGGCCGGTACTGGCTGGGCAGGCAGCCTGGCTCAGTCCCTGTTCGTGCTGGGTCAGGGACCAAACTCCACAATGGCTCCTCAATTTAAAACACAGTAAGAGCTGGGGGGCAGGCTGCCTAGCTCCTGTTACCTTTGAAATTGCAGAGCCACAATGGGGCGTGGTTGGCACAAGCCTTGACTTAGCAGAGCTGCCTTCCCCTATCAAGCAATTGAGTAGTCGATAAAAATTCCATCAACTACTCAATTACTAAAATAACCTCAATTTAACGTCCCTAATCTGCTGCCGTTAGCAACTCTTCCCATTGTAGAGCTGGGAGCATGGTGGGACACTGACTTGGCCCCTTCTTTACCTTATAAACCTGTAGCAAGCAAAGGCGGCATGATGAACAGTTGGGAGAGGGGAAGGAACTCTTCACTGGTAGCTTTGTCAGTGGTGCAGGTGACTTGGAATGGGAAGTGTAAGGTCTTGAGAGGAAGTTTTTAAAGGACAGTTGTTGCTTTTTCCTGCCTGATTATTACCGCTACATGTGCTTTCTCTCCCTCTCCCCCCTCTCCTTGCTGTTACTGGTTTTGGTGATGCTGAAGTGTAAATAGGGTGGCAGATGCAGTGTCAGTCCATCCAGTCCTCTGTTCAAGGCACAGTTTAGACCAGAGACCCAAGAGAGAAATAGGAAATGCTACTGAAACTGTTAAACAAATAGAAGGTTTATTTCTGCCCCACAAATTGTATGATCTGCAACCTCCGTTTCATAATTTATATCCTACAGCTCACGTGAACTGAACAATACACATTTAGTTACAGTAACGTCCCACCCACAATCCCCAGCCCAGACTGGGGCCTGCTAACGGTGGGGGTTGTACAAATGTAAGACATTTCTTACCGGCAGAGAACTTAGAATAAGAGACTACATCTGCCCTATGGTGGCCCTGGCTATGAGTTGCAGCTGTGATGCTGTAGTATCGACATTTCCTACAGTAATGGAAGGGGGTTGTCTGTTGATTAGGTAATTCGTCCCTTCCTTGGACCTAGCTGCTTTAGTGTGCAATGTAACTACATCATGCAGCACATGATGTTTTTCACAGTCGTCATGAGTGATGTAGCTAGGTTGACCCATACTTTAGGCCTGACACACAGATGCCAATAGGTCAGAGATTAAACACTGATCTAACATGTATTTCTAAGCTTTCTAATAAGTGGAGGGTTTTGACACATAACACCCCACTCACGTCCCACCTGGATATTTTTAAAAAAAGGTATGAGAGCACCAAAGCTACTATCCACCAGTCCCATCATAGCTTAAGGCAACAATATCCAAACAAGGAAATAAAACTTGTGTGGCATGTTGACATGAAACTATTTCTGAAAGCATTTTCAAAACTCAGTGCAACAATCTAATATCCTGATGCTGACATTATCTGAGGGATTCATTGCGGGTTTGCATATGTCACAGAAGGAGATCAATCTAGGACAGGGGTGGCCAACCCGTTACAGGCAAACAGCCAAAATAATTATGCAAAGAGCCAAGGGGTGGAGGCGAGTTGTTGAGCAAGAATAAAAAAAGCTCCCAGACGCATTTGGTCAAAAAATGACTGTTCCTTTAAGAAACACAGTTAGAGGCTTTTTGGCCACATCAGGCTCCCACCGGCCTCCACCATCCTGAAGATGCCATTTTGAATGGCTGCACCGGACGGCTCCTCTGCCCCGGTGAGCACGGGGAGCTGGGGCCGTTTTCAGGGGCACGCGTTCGGAGGGCAGGGTAAGAGCCACATGTGGCTTGGCCACAGCTGATCTAGGAGTTCTTACATCAGTAGCAGAGCAAAGAGAATTGGCCTTGAGAATCTCTGAGGCTTGACTTTGCGTTCAGAGCCTATTGTATCTGTAGATATGAAAACGGCAGCAGGGGCAATAATGGTCTACATCCTTGCACCTTTTCATGAAGAAAGGGATGAAACAGCATCCAAAATTGCACCTGGAGCAGAATGGGACACAAGAAATGTAGAGAGAGGTGTTAGCCAGCACGCCAGAGCTTACATTTCATCCTGAGGCATGGGCGAGCCGGGCAGCTTCCCGGGGCGCCTACCGATGGGGCGCACGGCGTCCCTTACAGCTGCCATCAGGCGCTGCGCTCCTGGCTCCCACAGCACCAGCCCCGCGGCGCTGGCCAGCAGCGCCTTTCCCCCCCCGGCTGCG